CACACACACACACACACACACACACACACACACACACACACACACTAAGTATTTAAAAAAAAAAAGAAAGAAAAAACCTTCAGGTTGCAGTTTCCTGTCTTAGGTTAGAGAGTGGCGGGCTGGGTTTATAAGGTGGGCACATAGGATGCTCTTTGTCTTCTCTGTCTCCTCCGCTTCCAGAATCCTGCTCAAATGCCTCTTCCTGACATCTCATCCAGCCTCCAGGTTTTGCTTGCTCCCCATCTACTTTATACCCTTTGTGGGGGCTCACCATATTAAGGTTATCTGTTTGTATGCCTGTACCCCCTCTGTTGCACTGAGTTCCTGATTCTACTGTCTGACCCCGATCAACACAGGGTCTCCAAACACATTGACAGAAAAGCCAGCTCAATACATACACACCCTTAGCAAGTCTAGACACTGCTCAACTATAGGATGGAGGATTCTGTACAAAAGGCAGCTGCTTCCTTCCTCTGCCCAGGTTATAGCTGGGGGACCAGTAGAGACCAAGGGGAACTCTCCCTGAGAAGGCAGCAGTTCGGGAAAACTACAGGGAAGGGGACAAGGATGACAGGAAAAACATTTTTTTTTTTTGAGACAAGGTTTCTCTACAGACTCTGGCTATCCTAGAATTCACTATGTAAACCAGACTGGCCTTGCACTCAGTGATCCGCCTGCCTCAGCCTCCCAAATCCTGGGATTAAAGGGATGTACTACCACACTCAGCCAGGAAAAGAAAATCTTGCTGTGGCTTGAGAGGATGGGAAAGATTCTGAGAGACCGGAGATGAAGGTCACAGTCAGTCATTCATAACGGAGTGCAGTCGCTGGGTGGTGAGGTTGACGGTCCGACCAAGGTCATCCCGCCATCGCCATCTGCACACACCACAAGTCACACCCCGGCGGACCTCCTACGTAGGCCGTGTCACCATGGCTGTTACCTGTATGGCAGTTGTGCAGCCAGACTCGCTGCCCGTCATACTTGCACCGGCAGCGCAACATGTTGTTGGAGAAATCAGACTCCGCCACATCGTTTGTGGGGTTCACAAC